ACCCCAGGAGTATATATGGTCAATATTATTTGGAACATTCGGCATGTTCTTGTCGTCTCCCAGCAGACCATCAATGAGCTGCGCTTGGAATTGCTCCCTCATCCCCCTTTCCAGCAGAGACCTTGCCCCATTCGGACTTTCACCTGTTTGGTCCCTTAAAAGCGTTCATGAGAGTCAAAAGTAACAAAATAATCAAACTAAAATTGAATAAAAAAACATTTTCATTGATGGAATAAAATAAAAACTGTTTAGATTTCTTTTCTGACTAACTGCAACAAAGTTTACATTTCTAAAACCAAGTACAACTGACAATAATTATCGCGAAAATCTCATTTGTTTCCATCTTTGTCAATTAATCTGACACATGAGCTTTTGGGGGTCATTTTAAATGTCTTCATTTCGGATTGACGGGACAGAATTCAAACAACAAAAGCCAAAATAAAATTTAAAAAAATACAATCATGAAAAATCCAAACCTATTTTGGCCTTGATTTTGGCAAATTATAGTCTGACTGATGATAAAAGAAGCTCCACAACAAAGAACACTAATCTTTTGATAGAAACAATTTCTTTGACTCCATGATGTGAGGAAACTGACCACAGCCCTTTAAAGCTATGCGGGCCAACAAAAAATTGTGACAATTGATTGTCCAAAGGGGACTTTTGCGTTGTGCAAATTGGAATCATGTTTTTTTATGAATCTGCAGAGAGAATTCCTCCACACATTTATAAAGCAGTCCCCTGGCGGCGTGTGCAAGCTTGCAACTAGGCCACAGTCACAACTCCTCCCCCCTATGTTTTACTGCGGATGCTCCACCTTTCGCTTCTCATCTCATCTGTCTCTCTCCATTAAACACGACGGCGATCAGAGAAGCATCTGGAGATGCATCTTTAAGCTTTAATACACTTTGAATAATTAACAGACAGACACACACACACACACACACACACACACACACACACACACACACACACACACACACACACACACACACACACAGAGTGAGTCTATCAGTGGCAGACGGACCCAGAGGGAGAAGGGAAGCTCACTCGATGCCAGCCTCAGACACGGAGCCTCTGAGTCGGGTTTGCCCGGTACTGTGTGGCAGCCTGAGTTCCGGCCGACACACGCAATGAAAAAAAAAAAAAAAAAAAAAAAAAAAAAAGCTGTGGAGGTAATAGACAGAAAGAAAGGATGTGTGCTTCTTTCTAAGTGACATGTTGCGGTTAATGGCGGGAGCGCTGGCATGGTTATACTATGAGCTGTGAAGCACGCGCACGTACGGTGGCACACACAAACCCACGCACACACACTTTTGTGTTGACTGCAGCAGTGAGGCGACACAAAAATATGAACGCCGAGCCAGCTCACTTATCATACTGATATATTCTGCAATTAACACAGAGAGCAACACCGGCACACCTATCTTGTGTTCACCTGCTGTTCATCTGGAACCCAACATGGCCTTCTTCTGATTATCAATGAGGCCAGAGGTTCAACTCCCCACGGAGCTGCTACAGTATGCAGTATCGACTGATTTGTATTCTATTTATATTATGGAATTAGGTCAGACTCGTGGGATGAATGTGCCTCATTTACCAATGCCTGGAGTAGGGGGAAACATTTATTCTTGAATTCCATTGAGACACTTTCCAAAACAAAAGTGTGTATCAGCAATGTATACGAAAAAATGTTGCTCGAAAGTCAAACTTCGGAGTTCTGTCGAGGAACATCAGCGCGGATGAATAACGGTTTCGCTGCAGGCGGACTTTTCACCGGTTGTTGTCGTTTACTTATGTGACACGAAGTTATTGCTTGGGTGTTTACGTTGTAAAATTTATAGCTATTTATTTATTTTGATGATGATAATGATGATGATGATAATGACAATAAGAAAAATCTGTCCATTCATTTTTTTATAGCGTTTGTCCTCATTCCGGTTGCCAGAGATATTGCGCAAGAGGCGGAGTACAGTTTGGACCGGTCACCATTGAATCGCAGGGTACATAAAAAAAAACGACCATTCACAATCAAACCTGAGGAAAAATTTGAGTCTGCAACTAACCAAACATGCATGTTGACGGTATGACACGCACACGCAAGAACATGCTAAATCCACACAGGAGGGCCTGAACCGAGGTTTAACCGTTTCAGGGACGGCGGTTACTACAGCGGACAGTTTATCATGTTATCAAGTTACAGGTTATCGTTATTGTTGCATGAAAGGGTTAAACCCAGGTCCTCTCGACTATAAGGCAGACACGCTAAACACTACTGCAACGTGCCAACCACAACTTCACTTTGCTGCCATAGCAAAGAATGTCAGTCAAAATGTTGTATGCGGAAATGATGGTGCCATTTTGACATTGAGTGGAGACCGGCCAACATCTGAGAAAAATATTTTGTTTGACCATTGGAAATGTAAAATGTTGATGTAAAGGTCGGATAATCAGTTCAATTTTAAGACCAATTTACATTTTTGTGCCCAAAGTCAGCAGGGACGAAAATTATCTGAGGATCATCCCTTTTTAAAATTTTTTTTTTTTGTTTAATCAGAAATGCACGTAAAACACTTGGAAATCAATTTTTTTTTTTGCGCTGTTTCTGAATCTGCCCTAGTTTTTCTCTCGCACATTAAGTTTTCATAACAATAATAATAATAATAATAATAGTAATAATGATAATACTGAAACTAAGAATAAGAATAAGAATAATGCAACAATAATAGAATATGTAATACAGTTAAACATATTCATGACTTAGAGTTAGGTTCAGCAACAGTTGGAATTTTTTTTTTCTGAAACGTCATAGCTATAAATTACAACACAAGGTAAAAATCTGTGTTTCAAAAAACAAAAATAAATATATCTTAAGTACCTGAAGGAAAAGAGACCCTTTTTTTTTTAAATCAGCATTAAAAACAACAACAACATCAACAACAACAAAACATCAAGGGACACAAAAGCCGTCTGTGATTACAATTTGCTTTTGTCCAGTGTTATCCGTTGGTTGAATTTTTTTCATGAGCAGGTTTCAGCGAAAACTACACTTGATTTGATTTCCAATAACCTTTGGGGAGAACCCATATGGATAAAAATGCTAATAGAGGGATTTATTTTTCATTTACCATTGGAGCTATGATGGAAGCATCACCCCATCCGGCCCAAACCCACCAAGAATGGAAATGCTATCTACATTTTTTTTCCCCATATAATTTTTCTATTGCTTTAATATGCCAGAATGGGAATGCAGTCATAGGAAAGAACCCCCGGGCCCGGTCGGATCCACCAGCTAAATGTTGTAGTCAGTGGAGCAAAGACAATTTGTTTGTTTCTGTGTTTGTTTGTCCTTCTGGTGTTTGTTTTCTCACTGTTTGTGTTTATGCACATTTGTTGTTGATGGCCTGCTCGAGTGTTTCTCCAACTAGCAATTTTCTGCCTGGTCGCATCTCACGTGCTTCGCTCTTTATCGGCTGTCACAACACTGTGGATTTATATATATTTACAGATCCAGGAAGAGACATGGAAGAATTAAATTTAAGGGGCCAAACGCATCTGTGAAAATAGCAGAGTACAAGTACTAATTTCCTGTGACTTCCATCGATGCCTTTTTGTTTTTCTCTTCCAACTATGATTTGAAGTCAGCCTGAGCAACATCAACAAATGCCTTTGCCCTCCCAAGGCTTGTCGTGTGACTTCAATCACTCTGGCATGTGACTACTAATACCTGAGGAAGGTTTTCCAGGCAATATGTGTAGACAGTATGTGGCGTTCAGCAAGGCTCACACAGTTTATTTTTAGACCTTTTTTTTAAACCACTCAATTGTAAAAAAAAAAAAAAAAAAAAAGGCCATGTTGCGATTGCACTACTTACTATTCCCGTTGCCGCACGGGCGTTCGTGTGTGCTTTGCCTCAGACAGGAGGACAAAAAAAAAAAAAAAAAAAAGAAAATGAAATGAATGAATTTTTGTTCACACTGACTAATTTGACACAACCAAGCTGCATGTTTTCTCTTCCCTTGTATGTCAGGTCTATCAACAGAATCCCGCTAACAATATGTAACTATGGTGATCACTGTCGATTACATGTCACGCGCATGTGTACCAAGTGAGATTCAAAGTGGCTTGGTAGCCATGGCAACATCTGCATTGAGATAAGCAAAAGGTGGCATTATAACCCCTCGCCAATTTGGCCAATCAGGCTGTCAAGCAAAGGCAGCGCCACCACAATGGCGAATCCATGAAAGCGGGAGAATCATTCACATGGACAGACGGTGCGCTACTTGCAAACATCACATGAATTTTGCAGTTGTTGCTTTTGACGATTGCTTGTGACTGAGAATGCGTTTTGCATGAGGAAGAGAAATTAAAATTCATTGAACATTAGCAGAGACCCTACTCCGGTGTCCCAATGGTGGCACTTCAAGTTTTTATCTAGATAAATGTTAAATTAAAAAAAAGGCATCAAGAAAAATGCAATGGCTTCTTCTTTTGTCCTCGTCAAAAGGTTTTGTGGAAAATACAATGGCAACGAACACACAGGCGCAGTTAACATTTTGGGCACACCTTCGAACTCAATAGCATAAGTAACTTTTGACTGGCACTGTGCGCATAAACAACCTAAAATAATGTCATCATTACCGTATTTTCCAGATTATAAATCACAGTTGTTGTTATATATATATAAAATATTTTCTAACATGCATTTTATGGCTGGTGCGATTTATACTCCTGAGCGATTTATAATCCGGAAAATACGTTAAAAAATCACATCATGAATGACCTACCAACTGTTCTATTCCCAACAGTAGATAAAAACTCACCAAGTTGTATTGAGGCCACTAACACAACTGTTCACGACAACTGTTTTGCATCGGCCATCATACACTTCTCGACTAACGTCCATCAATACTCACAAATAAAGTTAGATACAGATAAATAAAGACAGCTAGATAGTTCTATTGTGGTGTTCGTTTGATTGTGAAAAGGAGATAACCAACCTGTGAGGCGTTGACGCGTCCCTCCTGGAAGGAGCAGTCGCTGGCATCCTGTGTGCATATGTGCCGATATTTGCACCAATGGCAGGGAAACTTTCCATCGACACAGGACAGGCACCTGCACGTGTGACAGAAAGTGGTCAGCCTTGATGAAATAAAAAGCTAAACCCATTACATAAGAGCCCATTTCAGAAGAAGAAAAATATACATCAAGGAAATCTGCAAAGTAAAAACATATCTTTTGGCTGAAGTTATTCATACGTTATTTAAATGTCAAATGTAAATTGGAGTTTCATGTTATTAAAAATTGTTTGCACTTGTATTGCAATTCAGAGATGTTCAAGTTCAGTTGGTCTCCCAAGTAGGAGTAGAAAATACATGCAAATGTTGGGATCCAAAATACTTTATTCATACACACTGTGGTCTGATGAAATTGTAATGTGCAGAAACATGTCGACAATATTTGTGGAAGAAATAAGGTAGAAGTGATCTTTCTTGGCTGATCAGCAATTGAATGGTTATAATCATGAAAATCTGTACCTGACTATAATGAAATGCATATTCATCTAGAATACATCATGTCACAAATATGATAAACATTGAAATGTTTCACAAAACAAACATTTTCAATGTGTGCTCTGTAAAAGGTTGTCTTTTTAGGCACTATTTTCGTGCCCACCGTAGGTTTTCTGCAAAACCTGTCCTAACTGCGCATGGATGGAGTTTTTTTTTTTTGTTGTTTTTTTTTTTATTTTGCGTGCAGGTAGAAGCAGGCGTTTACTCCTTTATGGAAGCTGCTCCTTTCATTCCATTTAAATTCAGAATAAGAGAGGCGCACGGTCTACATGGATTTTGTCCATGCGGGAGATTGATTTGTGCAAAGTATGGTCAAAAGGAACTGCAAGCAGACGTCCACTTGCAGATGATGTGAAGTTGACCAAGGCAATCACAGATCACCGCTGTGAAGTATGCATTTGGAGGCCGCTCTCTACCCTGATTATTCATGTCCGTGTGTGGCTCCCCAACATCCTCCAACAGATACAGTATAGGGTATTTTCCGCACTATAAGATGCATCTAAAAGTATTCAATTTTCTTAAAAGCCAACATTGCGCCTCATAATCTGATGCACCTTTATATGGATCAATATTTTTTTTTCTTGGACGTAATATTTAAAATGTTCTGTCAAGTGCTTTGTGAACCGCTGCAGCGGTTGCGAAAGCTTTACATAAATAAAGCTGTATTGTATTGTATTGCAGTCCCTTTAGCGTCGCTCCATCTAGTGGATGCATAATGCAACCGCAGCCTCTATTCTAGGCTGTATTCTATGCACCTTATAATGTGGTGCACCCTATATATGAAAACTGTTTTAAAATAGGCCATTCATTGAAGGTGCGCCTCATACTCCGAGGTGCCTCATAGTGCGGAAAATATGGTGAATTTTGATCTTGAATGTGCCTCCCACATGTGCGGATGTGCATCACAGCAGAAGTAGCGATGACATTGAAATGACAAGTGCAACCATGGTCTTGCGTATTACGACTTTATCCAGGCTGTCAGCAAGACCAGAGTGGAGGATGAAAGCATCACAGAGAGATACAAACCAGAGGAATCCACTCCTCTCTCCTTATGCTCCATTCTTGGAGGCTTTAAGTGAAATAAGCTGGCAGTCGAAGATAAGCCGTTTCCCCCAGAATGCCTGTTGTCTTTCTTTCTCAAAAATCAGGAAGGACAGTGTATAAAAACACATATTCAGAAGCTGATTAGTTGACGAAAACAAGATTATGGCAACCATTACTTGACAATGTGAGCGACATCTGTGCAGTTAATAGTGAATTGTAAACCTTTCGATGCACCGCATGCTATGAGGTGAACCCAAAGCGAAATGACAGCAAACTATTTCATAGTGGAGCATGTTTCCATGTCAATGCCAGATAAAATCACATTTAAATCCGAATGAAACATCCATCCATCTATTATGGCACCGAACCTCTCGAGGGTTGTGTGCCTGCTAGAGGTGAGTACACCCTGAACTGGTCGCCAGCCAATTGCAGGGTAAATATTGACAAACATCTATTCATATTCATAATTTAGAATATTATTGTGAGGGGATTGAAAAACTAAAGCTGAAGAGAAATTGCAGTTCCAGGAGGATACTCACAAGCAGCAATAAGCTCTTGAGGGCTGACTGAGCTGCAGGATGAGATACACAATCGATGGTCGAGGATTAACACAGGGTCGGTGAGAGGTGCGCGGAGGTTATGCTAACAATCTGTTTGTGAAGGGAGCTGGTGAATCAGAACCTCCGCACTATTAACCATGGGCTTTATTGATCGCCGCTTGCACCGCTGTGCGTATGCATGTGCGCACCGTGTGAGGCACTTGGAGTCAAGCCAGACAAAATACATAGAATGGGACACCATTTGATGCACAACATGTCACCTACATTGACAGAACAGGATTCCTCTGGGTCACCGCGATACTGGCGTCCACGGGTGGAGCTGTCAATGATTTGGACAACTGGCTTGGGCTAAGTATACTGCTACATGAGAGTCAATAAGCCCCCGCCCCGCAGTCAACGCCACTATTTACAAGGCCTAAGCAACAGAGTCAAGTCAAACACTTTTTCATCCTCTCCGAGCTCATTTTCTGTGGTGAGAATCAATAATACAAATATTTTGAATTGCTTGCACAGCTAACCCATTCGGAATTTCAAGGAAGATGTACCGCCAAACCTCGGTTTTCGAACGTCCCTGTTATCGACCAAAACCGGATTTCGACCAGAAAATTCGAGATTGTTACGCCTCGGATTACGATCGAAAACCGTTTTTCGACCAAACTGTGCAAATCTGAATACACTACTCGACTCCTCTCGGCTTCCTTACACGAGGAAGTGATGCTTCCTCATATAACGTTCATTGTGAGCAGACGCGTTTGTTGTGATTTCCGCAACTCTGACCGTTTTTTTTTTTTTTTGTTATTCCTGCATAGCGTGTTAGCCCCTAATCATGGGCTAATTAAATTGTTTCAAATTTCGAACAAATCGCTTTTCGAACAGCCTTCTGGAACAGATTATGGTCGAAAACCGAGGTATGACTGTATTTATTTTCACAGATGGCTGGTGCGTTTACGGAATGGTCCAGGACATCATGGGCAGCCCTCCGCGATTATTTTTCGGCGCAGTACTGCCGAACCCCGTCGCCAAGTATGTTTCGGCGCATGACGACCCGTCGACGACAACTTTTCAACTGCCGTTTGAGTCACATTGGCTGCTTTATTACCCTTTTGTTTCTTTGAATGAATGTGTATTTCAGCTTTGCTAATAAGGTTGGACAAAAATGTATTGACTTGGCTGGTTTGATTCAAACTACTGTGTATGAATAAATCCACCAACACAAAAACAGGACTTTATTGGTGGAGGTCAAAATGGCCATTGTGCACTGTTCGGATTATTACTTTTTGAAGGAATCGCTACAAAAGTCTCATGAGAAAGACGGCCAAATAGGTGTGATATGCAGTCAAACTAGACATTGTCTAATGAGGATCCAAAGCAGTCATGAAATGGTGCATTTAGCTCTCAGCTCTTCAGCTATAGAAGAAAATGAGAAGATTCTCAGCGGGGGACTGAGACTCATTATAAGATATTATTGCATCTTGTCACACTGAAGTCCAAAAGAAGCGAGTATGATGGTCTCAAACCCCAGTTTAATTAAAGCAGGTCACACATAGTGGAAAATGGAGCGCTAGCAAGAAAGGAAGGACTTTATGCTTGTGTAACTGCAGGAAACTTCCTAAACAGATGCCAGTACAAAACACCACGTAAGTATACCGAAGCTTGCATCGTTCTCAAAGGAGGTGACAAAATTGGGTTTTTTTTCTTGACATACGAAGCCATGTTGGGTGGTGGTTGAGTGTGGGCCCCCTCTTTCGACATTCTTTTCACTTTTCAGCCTTTTCATATTCAAATGCGGTGGACCCCAACATTTTCGGGGTGTTCTTTTGTACCATTTATTTGAAATGAAGTACAAACCTGAACAAGAGGTGTTGAGGGAACGCGCATTCCAAGTACTTCAGTGATACCAAAGGCCACATGCCTGACTGGTTGTCAAACTTAAGTGTATTTCATTGTTTTTGAATTTTGCATTGAGAGTGTAAACCGTCTTTTGGTGACATTTGCGAATGCCGGATGCCATTGGAGGCTGAGAGGCTGATGTGACTTTATGCATGATCATGTGTGTATCTGTGATGCGACTCCCCTGTGAACTCTACTGATAAAATAAGAGTGCATTGTTTTCCTCTTTTACGATCAACATTGGGTAACTTCTTTTTACACTTGACATGACAATTGTCAGGGTTGAGCTGTTTTGGACCAACAGGTGGCACTGTAGGGCTCCTCCTACAGCAGCACACCTGTTGGTCGTTGTGTCATTAGTAGGTTGTCTGTTAAATGGACTCCCGGCGAGGCCACTCGGTATCGGGTCATTGTTTCTGTAGCTGCCATTGCTTTTGTTGATTAGTGTTTGTGCTTTACTGCCATGGATTTTTGTTTGTGTTGCTTTTACTTTGCTTTTGCGTCTGCCATGGGCTTTTATTTGTACTTTAGATTCTTGTTGTTTTCAGGACTTTGTTCTCGATGTTGTTTTCTCAGTGTCTTGGTTAATACAGTTTGTCGAGTTCACACTGCTCTTCCCTCCTGCCTGCTTTTCGGGGTCCTTCACCACCACATTCTTGACAACAATAAATACATCAATCAGTATTGCGTCACCTCTTCATGCATTCATCATTAAATTTTACCGTGTTACACATAACAGTGGTTAATTTTTTTTAAACACTTTTATGACTATTATTTTTTTCCTTTGATGCCAATTAGCCTAGTACACATTATAATATCCTAGCACAGTGCTAGCTTTTTTTTAATTCTGAATTAAAAAAAAAAAAAAAAAGGGGGTTTTGATTTGTCCTATTTAACTCATCTGGTGTAGGTGCCCCAAAAACATTTTTGTGTTGTATGCCATTTCTATTTTTTTCAGACTGTGTTTCTCGAAAGGGGAATTTCCTACTCATCCCAGTCTTTCCCCTCACGGCACTCACTATTGTTTTTTTTTTTTCCTCTCTTCCTTTTAAAACATGCAATATTCCTCCTCCCGCATGCTCATCTAAACTACACAAAGCTTCTTGTGTTCTTTGTATTAACAAATGTCTAATATTGTCAAAGGCTGTGTAAATAGCCAGCAGCATCCTTTGCTGTGCCAACTTAGTGCCTTCTGTCTCTTTGAGGGACTTCTGAGTGCGCACCTGTTCATGTGCAATGCATCACACACCGGCGAATGTGGAGCTCGAGTTTGTCTTGTGTGGAGCCCACGCACCAGCCCCGCCGGGTTGCTCGCTAGCCCGCAGGCTGCTCCGCATCTGAGCCTGATGCACGTGCGCGCCCGCCGTTGCTCGTCAGATGTTGTGCGTCTGCTTTTATGAGCCTGTGCGCTCTCATCCTCCTCATGCCCATGGGGAGGGGAACTCCATTATCTACCACTGAGTGCTGCGGCCTCTGTGCCAGGCTTCCTACAGGCGAGGTCAAAGATTAAAAGTAGCAAGCTGATACTAGAGGGAGGGGAGCGGCTGGGGGGTTGTATAATATGTGGTTTTATGTTACTGCGGAAGTGACTTCACTGTAGGTTAACGATGCCACGGGAGTCCTAAGGGGGGCAGTGTCAAAGGAGGAAAAAAAATGCATATCCAGTAAGCTACAACAAACAACAAAAAGCTCTGACTAAACGGATCAAAGATTCAGCTCGGCCTCGCGGCCTGGACGAGAGGCGCAGGTGAGCCCTTTCACCAAGCTCACTCCATTATGCTGCACAGACAGACCAGCTCGAGCTAATTATTGGCCAATTACTATGCAGATATATGCAGGGCCAAGAGCAGAGTGCAGGCAATGAAATAGGCTTGATGAACGAGAGAGGGACAGGAAAAGTGAAGTGTGGGGACGATGGCTAAGAGGGGTCGTGGTCAGGAAAAGGTGGGACGAGATGAGGGAAAGGTGGAAAAGGCAGGGATGAAATCATAGCTGTATGGGGAAGAATGGAGTGATGGAGAAGATAGAGAGCAGGACCCGTTTCATGGGCTGTCTGGGAGTAAGACAAGAGAAGAGGTATGCTTGGGTTGGATACAGTACTGCATGGCATAATATTAATAATACATGCAATTCATCACATAGAAATAGTTATAGACGACCACAATGTCATATCTAGATATACATAGATGTGGGTTTTTTTTTGGTTTGTTTTTTGTTGCTGGGAGGGCTTCTATTTATCTTGATTTTTTTTTTGGTTGTTTTGTTTTTTTGTAATTGTGCAAGTGGATCAGTATGCTTATCAAGTCAAGTATTCATTCTAACATTATAACATCTCTATTTTCAAGTTTAGCATGAGGTGCACTCTAAATTAGAAACTGATTTGCTCTGCTCCTGTGCCAGGTCAAGGTGCGCAAAGTATGTTTATAGAGAATTGCAAACAGACCTTCACAGGCTGCAGAGAGGTGAACGAAATTCCCAAACAAGTACAACAAGGCTGGTAGAGGCACAAAAAAAACAAAACAAAACAGTTTTTATGCGTGAGTGCAGCTGCGCCATCAATGAAAATCGAGCCCAAAGTCTTCAAAATATCATTGTTTATATGATCTTCAGTGATTGCTTTGGTCATTCTTTCAGTATCAGTTAGTGGTTTCTTTGTTTCTTTGAATTCGGTGTGCTGTATCCGTGTACTTTTGTCTTTGTCATTTTTGTTAATGTATGAGCCCAGGCAAAGACAAATTTCTGTCCCCCAACGGTTTTAGATGAATAGTGTATAGTTTATTCTTGCTCGACAGGGGAAACAAAAATGAGGTGCACATACTAATTCTAGCATTGAGGCATTACGCAGTCAAGGATGCAATGACAACACTACAGTGGAAGTCACACACTGGAGCAGCCTGGAGTCATGAGTCCATGAAATTGTATTCATTTTTATTTCCCCTTAATCTTGCAGGTCAGTTCAAATAAGAACATTTACTATCCAACTGTCTCCGCTAGATAGCATTCTTCAATTTAGGGATACACACACTTTCATACCACAAGAAAAACAAGTTCCGAATAATATTTCTGCAAGCAAATTTCTTTAGTTGGCATACACTTGCTCCCGTTAGATTAGGCCTCGTTCACTGCATATTTATTATCAAGCAGTTATTTGAGCTGGGCCATTATATCACTTTGACCTTTCCACTTACCGTATTTTCCGAATTATAAGACGTTCCTTAAAGCCTATATTCCGATGTGGCACTAGCACTATAAATAAGGAAAGTAGTAGAAAGTCCACAGTGATATCGCAGCAATACTCAAGTCACCCATTTCATTAGGTGTGCCAAAGTGGCCTAATCTAACACGACACTAATAGTCTACCACCCTCAAATTGGCAATGTCACAGCAGAAAACCAAAAATGTATATTTGTATGGGAGAAGTAAATATACTTCGAAAAGATTAGGCAGCAGTTGTTGGCAACCAAGCTTGACTGCATGTCTTAGTTTTGCATGGTTTGGGATTGATTTATCACTTCACCCATCAGTAGTCTTATCATTGCATGAAATGTAATTAACGCATTGATTTGTAGAAATGACCTGAAATCCGATAATGAATAAGCAGAGGTCACACATTGTTCTATTCACTCGTTATCATGATCCGTTATTTCCAGGCTCTGTTGCTTTCCAGAAAGAATTGCAATGGACTTGGATCAATGTCTTGCACAACTCACCTTCTCGCTGCACAAATGATGCCAGACCACCACCAAGGCTAATAATCCTAGTCTAAATCAGCACTACAGTATATTGTTCTCCTTCATGGACACCAACCGCAGCAGGTATGTTGCGTATGCCTGAAATGCGTCATGAGAATGAGTATTTTTTCATCTGCATTTTGTTGACTGAATTAGCTGGTGGATTTGCATTATTGGTCTAAATAAAATGTGCTGTTTTGTCCGAATTACAACCTGCTTAACTGAAGACATTGCGGGCAAAATAAACTGTTGAATCAGTTGAGTACCCCTGGTCATTTACAGTCCAACTTGATTTATTTATTGATTAAAGCAGATTAAGGTTGTTTTGCTTTGTCACCACAACACAGCCGTGTTGAGAATGTATGTAGAGACCACCACGATACGGGGTTTTGGTCTGCATCCGTGTTTGATTTCTGTGTTCACAAATGCATGATATACAAAAAAATTAAACGACAACTTACGATCGGTGGACACTGCAGTTGTAGAAGATAAAGTCCACACTGGCAAACGTCTTCCCTGTCTCCTTTGACCTCAGGTACAGTTTTATTACACGCCGGTCACCTATGAGTCAGAGTTAGAGAAATAGCCATGCCTTTTATGACGTGCTCAATCGGCAATATTCCTTTATTTACATTTGACATTTGTACTCCAGTTAAGTGTGTGCGAACTGTTTCATGAACCTTTCATTACTGTCAAATCTGAGTCAATATATTTAGAAATGTTAAGTGCCTCATTGCACAGTATGTTTTCACTTTTGCATAGTTGACATTTTCACATTGAGTGCATTTCTGCGTCAAAGACTCCAGCTGATTCAATAGGATTTCATTTGACCTGTTTAGATTTGTATGGTGTTCTGATGTACAAACATTTTCAAACCCAAATATTTGTCAAAGGAATATTTCTGAAAACCTATTCCACAGTTGTGGCCCTTGAGACTTTGATAGAATGTTACCTTGGTTGCGCGTGATGGGAGCCACCTCCTTTGTAGAGGGGGACAAGCAGAAGATCCGGCCACCGTAGATGCGTCCTTCTGTTTCGACGTAGTCTTCAAAAGAGCAGTTTACTCCGGCAGACAGACTGGGCACATTTTGGGTCTGAAGTACCAACTGGGAGGAAGAAATGTTCGGGTAAATAATACAATTAAACATGTATTGACCTTGGAAGATGGAAAACTTCCAGAAACAGCAGACAAGTTTGAGACTTTATGTTTAAGGAACGTTTGGCTCTGTATCGACCAAGTCCTATTGTTCTAACCATTATCTACACAGCTGTTTGGTTAGGTAAATAATAAATACAATAGAGTCTCTGGACAGGCACAGACTCAGAATGTTGATTTTTTTTTTTTTTTTTTGTTCTTGGTTGGGTTTGAATTTGCCCGAATGACTCCTCTGGACTTTGGATTTGTCTTTTTATTCAAGCAAATCTCAAATCTTGATTTCACAGACAAACAGGGTGAGAGAGTTTCCAAGTTTATTATAGTTCACTAATATTGAAAAAAAAACCTTTCTTTCACAAAATAAAATGAAATGGAGGTGTTTAAAAAAAAAAGACAACTAACTTATATGGCATTGTCTAAATGGCCTTGTTTCGTTTTTTTTTTTTTTTTTCCCCCACCTTTACCAATTTAGTTTTTAGTACATTAGGTTTTTGGGTTGATTTGTAATGTCCAACCATCGATTTAACAATTTTGGCAATGAGGGGGGTGGGGGGGGAATCTCTCGCATGATTGCGAGACATGGAAGATTAACGGCAGCACCCCATTTGGGATTTCTCTGATTATGGAAAGCAAGTGCCGATCTAATGTCGTGGAAGAAGATCTCTGAGATATCTAGACCCGTTCTTTTTTGAAGTTGCAAAAAACGGTAGCGAAACCGCCATGATCGTACTGGACTTCTTCCACTGTCACCCAAATAATTGCGAGTCAGTAAACATGCAGAAATATCAACGTCAGGTGGATGCACTGTGACTCCATCGTCCATAATATTGATCAGAAATTTGGAATGCATCAAATATAGAAGGCAAAGTACTTTTTGTACGATTTCTTATAACGATCACATACAAGTCTGTTGTCTGCACCGACAGTACATGTCCTAGTCCTAGTTTTCGCAACCCCACAGATACTGCAAGATCTTCTACCTGCACTTCGGACATGGTGACCGAGATGGTGTCGGGTTGGACAGAGAGTCGGACACACTGATCCACTCTCGTGGTGAAACGCTGTGGTTCCTCCGCCCGCTCGCAGTGATCCTTTCTCGAACATCTATGAGAGAAGAATGTAATGTGTGCTTGTTCATATAAACTGCAAGCTAATCACAAGATATTCTGATCAAAATAAATGTCCCTTAAAAATTGGTAGGGTATGAATAGGACAGGCACAATATGCATCTCTTCGGGGGTTTAGGTATATCTTAAGAACAGGATTTTCATATTCGCAGGATATAAGCCAATATTAACAATTGAGGTGGACACAGTGGATTGTGTAGCTTATTTTACTCTTGGTCTAATACAAATCCTGCTTCTCCCACCTAAAAGATTTATTGGGGACTACAGGGCCATTTAAAGGGTTTACGTTGCAAGGAAGCAGAGGGAATGGTTGGCCACAAATGTTCTCAAATCAAATGACATGTCAATGGCCTTAGTTAAGATTAGCATGCTTGTTTTGATATGTATGCTATGTCATTTCAGGCGTGTTTAATTTCCCTGGCTTTGTGACAACATGAATTCAAAATCATTCAGTGGTATCTTTTTTTTTTTTTTTTTTGCTTTTGTTGTGGCATAGGTGGTAAAAGACTTAAGAGAAAATACACATCCATAGTATATCTCTATAAATCACAGATGACCAGCAGTGGTGATGCTTTAATCAGCAATGATAAACAATAATATGACATGTGACGTTGCTTTATGAATAAAAACAGGATTGATCAAATGGCACATTACATTAAGGACAACTCAATGTCGATGCGTACACTTACACGTTGTGTAGCACACACCAGCCACAGTGAGGGTCCCCCGATCCCAGACAAGCTCCACAGGAAGCGTACTGCTCACAGCTCTCCACGGGTACCCGTGTAACCTGGGAGTAAGATACACACGTGCTTAACAGTTCCTGATGTAAAACATCACAAAATTTCTGGGTTTTTCAATCGAGTGTAAAAAGGAAGTGCCCAACAGGGGTCTCTGCCTGTACACTGAGATTAAAAGAACAAGTCCACTGTGACCATCAGAGATAAACGGTTGCGGAGGCGGCTGCTTACAACATCTTACCACTGCATATTTGTAAAGTAAGCTAGAGGGGGAGACCTGCTGACTCCAACTTATGTAAACACACACTGATTAAAATGGTATGCTTACACAGATATCTCCCAGTCATATTATGCAACTAAGGACTTATTTTTCAGACCCAAGAACACGTTGTTTCTATTAAAGAGTCTAAGACCAAGGATTTTTCTGACAAACTTGGTTAAGTGTAGACCTCGACCAAGGTTTGCACCACGCAGAGCGTTCTGGCGTACCATGAAGGGAATTTTCTTTGATAAGCCTCGACACATCTGAGATTTTGATGAGTGAAAGTAGTCTGAACTTTACGTGTGCTGAAGCGACGTCTAAGTACTGGGGCAGGTAGTCTAAGGCGAGTTTGGGACATTTGAATCAAGGTTCAGGAAAACCTATTCTGAGGTCTTTGTATTCCATTCATAAATATGGCAACAGAGTATCAAGTCAGCGAATCAAGTCGGCTGTGTTCACGCCCACAACGACGCAAACTGACCGTTTCTATGTGAAAATGTCAACACTTGGTGTAGCCTGCCACGGCGCACATTTAGTTCGTGCTTCACACCAGACTTGTACTGGACACAAATATAGAGCCCATATTGTTAACACCATGGATTGTCCATCAACTCTGACTGCTGAGGTCACAGTAGTAGGATTTCTTGTGGGATCTTCTACTCCTGTTACTGCTTCGACTACTCCTGTTTGATCCAACCAAGGGTCAGAAAATATCTTCTGCTCAGTGTATTGAACCTTGAAAACCATTTACAATGTCCGAATGTAAATGGTCAAACATCTGACCTGTAGCCAGTTATTGAAATGAATCCTGCACATTGATAAGGCCATCCCCTCAACATAACTCATAGCAAGAAGAAAATGTTGAGTCGATTCTCACGGATGCCAAACAAAACAACGAACGCTGCTGTACACCGGACAACATAGATAGACCTCACCGATTACTCATTTCGTCAAACAGATCTCCACTGTCTGGCATCCGTGTGTCTGCATGTCTATGATAAGATGAAGGATGAATGATTTCTGCGAGGAGCACTGAGATCTTGGGTATTAACAAGGACATCATATCAAAACTGTGTAAAGAGACCTGCCTCTCGAACAGCAGCCAAATAAATGTCCCCTAAAGGAGACAGAAGGCAAGATGATGCTTTGGGGGAACTCCATTTCGTCAGGTTGTCTTTGCCCTATAACATGGTATCTCGAAATTCACCTTGTGTGTTACAACGGTCATCCATAGATCCATTAGGATAGAATTATTGTGACAAAATGTAAATTTTTCTACTTTCAAGTAATTTGGGGACAATTAGGGGAAGCTCCTTTTGTTCCAACATAATTCTGCCAACAAGCACAAAGCATAGTCTGGCAAACTATCTTGTTCTATTGCAGCTATGTGGCTCTTACTTTGGATGGCAGTAGGTGGAGTGTCAGAATCTCAGGACCTGCATGCACATCTTGTGGAGCATAAAGCAGTTTGAAAAATTGTTGTTGTTTTTTTTTTTTCTTTTCAGTTGATCAAGGCATTTCTTCTGTTTCATTCCACGAGCTTTCAACTGTGTCCATTGACTTTTTGGGTTAGGTGATTGTTTTATGTGCCAAGTCAGATAAAACAAACACTGACTTGGCACCATTTGAACCATCCTCCCAGCCATCCATTTTTGATGCTACAAGTCCCGTTTGGAGTCACATCAGGGTCAACATCTAGGTAGATTGAAAATGTGGATCGCTAGCCAGTCATGAGGTGATACGGAACAGCACACTGACTTCATATTTGCTGCATGAACATCAGCATTGTGAATCATGATGCTACCAATGGTCCCACATTCTAATTAAAATGGAAATAAATCGTTTTTTTCCCTGATTAAAAAACAGAGAAAATATTGAGGAAGGCAAGTTATGGCATTGAAAGAAAATACATTGAACTACCCTCACTCAAGATTTCTCTCACTTGACCTGTTCATAATAATGGTGGTCACATCATGTTATTATTCGGTACAGCCACACAGTACAAAGCGATCAACCACGTGAACTATATTAAAAAAAACAATTAAAAAAAGAATAAAAGAGAGAAATAATAATCTAAGCGTAGGCTTACTTAGGCCTGTTTCTTACACAATATTATTTCTTGTTTTAGTTTGTTTGCTTTCTGTAACAGGAATGAGAAAAAAAAAATTAAAAACAGCTGTCTGGAAGATGCACTGCATTTCTGCACTATTGCCACAATGATGCACATGTTTTGATTAACCTTGTGTTTGGAATTTTAATCGACTGTGAAAGTTAATCTGATAAATTGCCCAGTAAATGTAGATGTCACTTTCAAACAAAAATACAAATCTGAAATGTCTGGATTTAAATGTCTCGAATTTTGCAACGACAATCTGCGAAATTAAAAAGATTGTAGTTTTAAAATAAATACATTTCACTACATTTATCTACAAAAAAGTGAACGAAGACAAAAAGAAAACCTTTTTGTGACAAATAAACGGTACATTTTACAAATCGTGTATTGGGCTTTTTCATCAATATCCATTCAGAGCTTTGACACAAACAACACATATCTCAAGTAAATGCCACTAATGCATCTTTCTCATCCTCATACTGAAGAGTGTGAACACAATAGCTTACAGCGGATTCATAGTGACCCGCGCCTGATAACTATTATAATACAACCATTACCAACATGTCCCTTTTCACAGCACACCAAATGGCACCAGATTACTGTCATTACACAAATAGCATGTTAGTATTACAGTCTGATAGAGGGAGGAGAGAGAATCCCAAAAAAAACAACAAAAAAAAAACATTCAAGCACAATGGCAAAAGAAAGAGAATGGAATACAATGAGATTTAGCGACTGGCTGGTGTGTGATGAAATGGTTCTTTCATTGAGTTTGAGAAAACACATAACAGGAAGGGAAAGCGCGAGCCTTGTGTCTTACCAGAGTAAATATGAACCACCATAGTGGAATCAAATATGGCATTTCCATCCCAGGTCTATTTGCTACAGCAAAGACATTCATTTGTGGAGAGCGGAAGAAGGGGAGTGGAAAGAAAATGAGGATTAGAAAATCAGGTAGCCGTGGATATAGAGAATGACACCATTGGTGAGATGAACATCCCGCAGCAGTTTGAGACCTGTGATAATTATTTGAAATACAAAACAGCTTCATGTGAGCCTCTCTTGTTTAGGTTTATGATAGAGGGATTAATTTTTTCAGTGCTGGAAGGGAGGACGGGAAAGAGCAATGAACGATTGCACCGGTGGATGGATGGCGGAGACGCAAAAGAGAAATGTGATTGGGTTGAATGGCTCAGTCCACATTTGCAGCACATGCAGTCCATGGGCTGAAATATAATTGCCCTATCTGTACCAGAAATAAAAAACAAAAAACTGATGAATGGCTTCTGTGAGGTCACAACACCAAGATTTCCATCCAAACAAAAAGGCAACAGATTGCCGACAAATGACTGTTGTTATTTAGCGATAGCCTGTATTTTGTGGCCAGGACGTTCATACAACTGTGTGTATGTGACAAGGCATCTTTTCAGCTTAAGGAGGTTATTGGTTGGGCATTTAAAAATATTGTTTACGCAAATAAATATCGATGTGTGATTAATGTGTCAAGTAAAGCTGGACAGAGTCTGGATAGGAATATATCTTATATCATGAAACCATGACTGTGAGTTGTATGATAAACAATGACTTCTCAGCCATGTTGACTGCTTGCTATGGTGTGCAGACAATGGATTTTTAACATCGGCTATAAAAATCAAAAGTTTTTTTTCCCCTTTTTTTAACCTAAAAGACATGCTGGAGTGCGCATTAAGATGTGCCCCCTGGGCAGTGCTACTAGAGACTACACTGTAGCCCTGCCAATGATATTGATTGGTTCAATTTAATGTCTACTTTGAAAATGGCCAAATGGGCCACTCAGTTTGAATTGTGGACCCGCCTCTTAGGGGAAAAAAATGAGGTTTAATTAATTAATGGCAAAAAAAAATATATATATGTATTTTTTTTTAATGGAATAATTAATTGCACTATATCAGCCACTGAAGATGGCCGCCCACCAAGCATGTAGCTGCCACGCCCAACGGCCAGTCCAACCCTGGCTACTGAAACATAATACATAGATCCGAATGACTTTCCCGAAATGTTAACGTTTCCTTCATTCCATGCAATTACTTGTCATCCCCTCTTCCTTTGTGTTCATGTTCATCTACCATCTGTCTTTTGTCCAGTTACACCGAAAAACACGGCAAATGAAGTCATAGATCAAAAGTAGACACGGGCAGAGACAACCTTGGTGGACACAGACAAAATAGCTGTCTCTTGATGAGAGGATCTCTCCATCACTATTCCATCTTGGGCCGACATCTAATCCAGTGTTAGTTATGTCCGCCCATCAAGCCCGCAGTGGGAAAAAGTTTGGGAGTCTTATTTTAACCCGAAATGAGAACTAGGCTATAAGATGATAACGTGGTTTCGTCCTTCAAACAATCGCGCGAGAAATATTGAAGAAAATCACCACCTGAACCCCTTTCGAAAACAAATCCTCGACAGCCTGAGCAGATTGTGACCAAATCCAATAAAACCCCCTTTGCCTGGCAGGAATAACATCATTTCTACTGTATTAATTCTATAAAAGCAATGCAATTACTCAATCTTGGTGTTCTTTCTCTGCTTGTTTCAATTACACACTTCAGCACTTTTTCTTGTTTCCATCCGAGTCACGTCATTTCTCTCAACTCAATGAAGACATCGCACTGTCTTTGACTGTCTCACAAATCAAA